CCGCCACGCGCCGGCGCAGCTCATCTGGAGCCTGTCAAGGTTCTCAAAGCCACGCTCGTGATTACAGATGCCAAAACTTACTCGCTGAACTCTTCCCACGGAAATTAACACCGACGGGCCGCTTACGCCAAGTCAGAACCAGAGCTGGAGAGTACAGCAATAGTTACCCTGCAGGGTAAGAAGCTACCCGCACCTTTTCACTGACCTCACAAAGTGTGACCGACTCGGAACGACGCGCTCCTGCTCCCCTCGCCCTCAGCCCCTGCCCCGCGGAGCGCGGGGGGCTCCGCTCTCCTACCGCAGCAGCAGCCGACACATCCCCGCTCGGGGCACGGCCACGGCTCACGGCAGCTGCCTCCAGCCCCTCGTCTCGCTTGCACACGCGTCAGGCAGCTCCGTGCCACCACCTCAGACGGTTCTCATCAGTGGAAGTCGCCGAACTCGCGTTTCGTGTCAGCTCTGAGAAAGAGACACGGCCAACAGACAGCCCCCAGAAAGACTAGTTCTCATTTAGTCTTGGGGAAAGCTCGATGTTTTCACCACGACAGATCTGTCTCATCGGCCTCGTAATAACAATCTGTCGCATTTGTGCCTCTTCCGTGGTTCTTCAGCACAGATGTTCCGCCAAGCCGCGAGGCAGCGGGCAGGAGGGCTGCGCTCTGCTCCGAGATCACCCTGCAGGGGCTTCAGGCAGCCGCCCACCACCCACCCCGAGCCAGCAGCACCCCAAGGCACCCACATGCACCTTGCAAAATCAGCTGCTATACATTAGAATTGATATCTTGCTTTCTCAACACAAGTAAAAGCATCAATTAAATCATTTTCCCACAGGAAAATTTTAAACAAATCCCGGGACTTTTTTCATCACCTGATTTTGAACGCAAGCAGTAGGTGCAAATGTCAAAACAAGGAATACATCAGGCAGATTCAAAGCGTATTTTAATTAAAATGATTCCCATTCCAAATATAAACCAAATAATTACCACCATTACACGATTCTTCTGAAAAGGGGAAAGAATCCTCTTTAGAAAGTTACTACGGTTTACCAGATCTTGGATTTCACTTCATTTTCAACACTCCATAAAACATCAACGGGTGAAAACTATTTAACCGCATTTCCAGCCTAATTAAACCAAATCAACAGTTTTTAAGTCGGACTGCCAGATCAGAACATATGAGCATCCTGAGGAGCAGAATCAGAAACCAAGCCTTCTGAGCGAGCAGCCCTGCGCCGTCAGCACGACAGGCGACAAACACTAAATCCTTGCTGGGAAGACTGGGATGATACTGCTGAGTGTGCAGCACGGCTGCTCGCAAGCACAACCTATGGGCTCTGTAAATGCCAAAGCCGAGGGACCACAGCGGAGCAGGACGGACCCACAGAGGAGCACGGGCTGCGTCCAGCCAGGCAGCAGCACCACAAAGGTAAGAGCACAAAGGGAGAACCCCGGGAGCCCAGCGGTCGATCGAGCGCATTTAAATTTTCAGAGGCAAATCAAAGAGAAATCATTAGTGATTTGGCTTTCCGTGTCATTTTCTTCAACTGTTTCAACGTTCCGTTCCAAGTTCCGGTTTTCAGCGTCAAGCCTTACGGTCTGCACACTGCAACGAGAGGAAAAATAAGAGGTAATGATGCTATGCACCTATTCCAACCAGGCACTTTTTTTTAATTTTCATAAATAAGATACATTTTAGTGTTAGATTCTCTTCACGCTCTGTGCTGGCATATGGAAATACATGCAGTTACTGTTGCTAATTTTCCCTATCACCAAAAAAAAAAAAAAAATGGAAAATAAAGGGACAAAAAAAATTTCCTGTCTGTACAGTAAAAGAAATAGTGTTATTGTTGAACTTACTCAGAGGAGGAGAAGTAGTGCTTGTGAATGAAATAGTGTTCCTGTTGAACTTACTCTCTGGTGGAATCTTTTCCTGAAGTTCCTTAGTAGGTTTCAACCCCCGCAAAAACCCTGACGCACACGCTGAGGACTGTGGCACGTCCCCACGAGCCCCCCCAAGGCTGGACTTCAACTCGTGACAGACCAGGACTGTAAACTTTGCCGCACAGAGAAACCTAATGACGAAAGTTCAAACCCCTGCACACACTCTGCACGGCACGCGGAGTTTGAACGCTGAGGTAAGAATTACCAGGAGACAAGTTTTGTGAAAGGCAGAGGACTAGCCGGGGAAGTATTTTCAGAGTGAGGGCACTAGGGTAAGGGCCCACATACCGCAGCTTTCAGAGCCTGGTCTAGGTCTGCCAGTAAATCTTCTTCATCTTCCAAACCAACCGACAGGCGAATTAGCGTATCGCTGATGCCAAGAGCTTCTCTATCTTCTTTAGGCACTGAAGCGTGAGTCATGATGGCCCTGGAGGTCAAAAATCAGCCTTTTTTCTTACAAGTTTTTATTTTTATTGGTAAAGACCAAAGCCGGTGGTTTCCTGCCAGCATCCCCTGAAACTGCACGGAGATTTTACACCTTTTGTGGGGCCACCTGCAGGTTAACCCACGGATGGAAAGAGATCGTATCAGTTACTGTAAATGAGGCAAACTGCAGACACGTCAGTGATCTGTATCTCCCAGGGTTTCAGTACAGTATTTCCAAGCTACAAATGATGAATGAGAAGTGGGTACTTAATGCGGAGCTCTTCCTTCTAGAGGTTTGTTGGTTATTTTTTTTTTCTAAAAAGGAGTATCTAAAAGCTCTGCTTTAAGCATATGGAGAAACAGCTATAGCACGCAAACTCCAATACAAAATCTGATTTTTAATTTTTCTTTTTTTTAACTTCTGGTTTCTCAGATCACTTGTCAAACTGTGCCCGTTTAGCCTGAAGAATTTATTCTCTCTGGCTATGGCAGATCTAGGTAAGAAGCTATTTCCCCCACTGATTAGCAATTCCCTTTCAACTCCTTAAGTGTTTTAAGATTTGCTGTTATTCTAAAATAAGCAGCTGAAATGATTTAGCATGCGAGTTCAGTCATAACTTCCCATGTATCTTTTTGAAAAGCAAATCGGATTTAAGTAAAATAATCTAATTCCATAAAATCCCATTTTTAGCCTTTGAACCTAGACAGGGGCAACTCCGTGTTACCGGATCCCCACGGAATTTCCCTGCCACGGAGACGGATGGGGTGCAGCATGCTGACCATGCCCTCTTGTGTGAGCAGGCAGAACGGCAGAGCTGACGTCCTGGCGTGCCCAAATCTGCTCACCACGACTTACTCAAACCCACGGTGACGTCCTGCATTTGTCACCCCAGCAGCAAGCTGCAGCCCACTCTGCCAGGTGAAACACGGGAGCGGGGAAATGCCCTCATCCCTGCATTCCCGGAGTCACCAAAGTCACACTCATTTCTGGAGCAGCCACTGGGGCTTGTGCTACACAACCTACTCGCCTTGAATTTCAATTATATGCAAAATGTCTTGGCTTTGTGTATTAGAAAGATTTCAGAACTCCCGTAAAAACAGATCAGCCACTATTTTGCTGCTGTGCAGCTTTTTCAGGTTTTTAAGATGAAGAATGACTTACGGCTGCTCTGCGAGGCTTTCGTATCCTCCCAGACTCTCAGCCAGTGCAAAAACCTAGGGGAAAAAAAGACACAGAAGTTAACATAAGTAGTGTAAGGTTACAAATGCTTAGAAAGAGACAGTGAAGGAAAAATTGGTTTGTTTGGGGTGGTTCTTCGAATTTTTTTCTACAACGACTTTTATAAAAGGTATTATCTGGAATTGGGGAAAAAAAAGTGTACATTTAGCAGTTAAGAAGTATGAAGATTTAGAAAAGTCTTGTCCTAAAAAGGCTCCAGAGAGACACTGATGCAAAAGTGAAATTAAAATACGGCCATGCTGAGCAGGCCCAGCTCTGGAGCAGTTCCTACGGGGCTGTGCATGGGCAGCAGTGGAGGAGGAGCAGAAGGGGAGCAGGAGCAGAAACGCACAGCCCAAGGGAGCAGGTTCTGCCGGGGGACCAGCAGAGTTTTCATTCCGTTCAGAGGAAGGAGAGAGCAGCCTGCCTGGACAAAGTAAGTCTCAGATCTCCAAAAGTTCAGCTGAAGTGATTATATCCTACCCTGACATACTCTGCTTTCAGCATCACGCCTCACCACTCATATTTAACACCTCTGCTTTCCAGGCTGCAATTGGCAGACTTGATGGGGAAAAAAAAAACCAAAACAACAAACTTTTAAGACTCTCCTCTTCAGGCTGAACTGAATTTTTAACCAACAAACTTTTAAGACTCTTCTCTTCAGGCTGAACTGAATTTTTTCACTCCATGCTCAAGTCTGAGGGTCAGTTTAGTAAACCAGCCTCAATTTCTCAGTGCTTAACAGTACTAGCGTTTGTGAAATGCTTCCTGATAATTAAGGGGGTTTTAGCACTGCTCTTTGAATTATGGACATATACCCTGGATGACAAAAAGGCTCTCTAGAGAGCCAACTGCTCTCCGGCAGGGATTCACAACTTGTCTTTTGTGAACGCGCTTACTGCCCTCAACATTCCTCTCCAGCCCTGCTTGCACACGTTAGCAGAAACAGAAATACAACTAAACCTATCAGGCAAAGAATCCTCCTCTTCAGGCTACAAATGACGAATGGGAAGTGGGTACTTAACAATCTGGAGCTGAAAAAGGAGAAAATCCTATGCCTCTTCCTTCTAGAGGTTTGTTGGTTTTTTTTTTTTCTAAAAAAGAGTATCTAAAAGCTCTGCTTTAAGCATATGGAGAAACAGCTATAGCATACAAACTCCTCCTCTCAGCCTGGTTTAAGGAAATTACTTTTGAACCAACCTAGCGACAACCTGATGGTTATCCGAGGCGAAGGGCTGAAGTGCACACACTCACAAGGGACTACTTCTGGAACTTGCTCTCTGATGCTTTTTGTCAAAGCTGGCAGATCTCCTGGGCCAGGATTAAATGCTCTCTCTCACGTAAAAGGAGATTTTGTGGGAAAATCGTATTTTTAGTAAATTCGTTTTCAGATGATGACAGCAGCTGGCAAGTTAGGGAGGAGAAGGAAGTTCTACTTTACCTTTGTCAATTATTACCGATTTGTTTTTCCAAGAACAGAACAGCAAGAACACAAAGGCAGGATGCAAATTAACCAGAGATTAAGACTAGCAAACACATCAAAGAGTACAGGCAGAATTAACACATTGCAAAGACAGGAGCAAGAGCCTATAGTTTAGGTAAAATACCCAAACAACTGCTCTGCAAACTGAGGGACTCCCTCTTTGCTTCATGATTCATATCATTTCTCAATGGTGTTTTTTTTTTTTTCTCCTGATGAGTACTTTGAAATATTATGACAGTATTGCACCAGCCACAGCCTTTCTGCTTTCAAACACTGCAGGTATTTTTGTAAAAGGGTGGGACACCCTTAGCTTGGGCTAACCTGGACATATTACACTCTGCTGTGTAAACAAGTAAGCTGAGGCATCCTTTTCTTCCCTCTCATTAGCCTCCCATTTACAAATAATCTATTATTTAGAGATGGTTACACCCAAAAGACTTTAGGAGCTTTGCAAGTACAGAGAAAGACTCTCCCCGCCCCCAGAAAAACCACTTCCTTCCATTATCACCCTCCAAAGGACAGGCTTAAGTCCCCCAGAATAACCACTTCCTTCCATTCTCACCCTCCAAAGGACGGGCTCAAGTCCCTCTCAGCTAGTGCGTATTTGCCATCATTTACCTTTAAATTCTTGAGGAAGGTAGCAGCATGTTCAAGGTTTCCTTTAATGTAAAAGGTGACCATCCCAGGGCAGCCGGTGCACTGCCGCTTGACCAGCTCGTGCTGAGGGTGCGAGGGCAGGCCTGAAATTTGTAGCAGTTACTTTAAGTTCATTACAAGCAGGCGCCCCGCAGGAGCAGCCCGCGGGCAGGCAGGGTGACACGAGGGGTGAAGCCAGCCCACCTGGGAAGATGACTTTTGCCACCCGGGAATCGGACTCAAGAAATCGAGCAACAGCCAACGCATTGCGGAAATGTTGTTTCATCCGGATTTCCAGCGTCTTCAAACCACGATTGCACAGGTAACAGTCAAAGGGAGACGGGACAGCTCCGAGAGCTACAGAAATCGCAATAAAATTCCACATGAAACAATGGCTTTGGGGGGTTTGTTAGTAAAAACTGAACCCATTACTAATTCCCAACATTTCTAAAGTTCAGATAAAGACAAATAGACATCTGATGCAACCTGTGGTCCTCCTTTTACACCCCTGGGAAGCCATTTAATGAGCTGAATTAACAAGATGAAGACTCAAGGATTAAATTCATTAGACACGATACACCTTATTCTTTCTGTTGCAGACAGAGAGCAGACAGGTCACTGTTCAGAAATCTATTCATTACAATTAAGAGGCAGCAAATTGTTAAAATCAACCCATATAAGAAAATTCTGCATTAGGCATAGCCTCTGCTGTGTGAATGAGTTAAAAAAAAAACAGGTGTACTTGACACGGGTCAGATGAAATTAAAGGCATAATTTAAATGTTTGCGTGCCTCTTCACACACAAGGTCAAGTGAATATAGGAAAGGATGGTGCCCTTTCTGCTGTGGTCCCATCTCGAACCTAAAGGGGAACTTTGCAAGCAGTCATGCCCCCCCGTAACTGCAGGTGCTGCTTGCGTTCTTCAAATTCTAAACCCACAACAAAATGTGATTTAAGAGCACTGCTCTAATTCCCACCAGCTCCAGGAGAGGAGTGATTGAATACATCTAACATACAGCCCCTTCACATTTGTGAAAAATATAGTTGTAGTGCTTAGCAGAGGCAGGGATAAGTAATGGTATTTACTCTGAAGTTTATTTCCTTAGAAAATGAAGATGTCACAGTCTGCAAAGCAAAAAAATTGCAGTTTTCTCGAGAGCACTCTTGGTGGTCATGCACTGACAGAAGAGCTGAAAACCTGAACAAAGTGCAGAAGGGTTTGTTTGCCAGGTGTCTCCCCGCAGAGCTCCCAGCCTTCCTCAAGCAGCAGCCAGAAGTGCAGACCAGTGTCCTTAGCAGAGAGGGAAGCCACAGCCCACCGAGAGCCGTCGCCTCCGCACAAAGCCACCCTGCACACCGCTCACCGGCAGGGAGGAGAATTCAGGCTTCCAACCTCTGCATCACCGCTTTCTCTCCAGGCATCTACACCTCTGCACATTTGAATGCCTGAGCTACACCTCTAAATACATTTCATACTTGTGTGCCTGCAATTCGCTTCCCATTAGGAGCTCAAACACGATTCATTTCAAGGTATTTCCTATGTTCGCTACTTACAGTTTTGTAAGAATTTGAGCCTTTCATAGAGATCGTCACAGTTTACTGAAACAAGTCCCATCACAACATCACTATGCCCTAAAAATGCAAGACGACAAGAAGAGAATCAGCCACTCTGTCTGCTCCAGGGCTCTGCCACAACCCCTCCTTTTCCCAGTCCTGCTGCTAGTACAGTCTCATTTTTGGGGCATGGCTATAAACACCAGGTCTATGACCCGAAGGCAAGTCAATATTCCTTCTCCCAGGGATAGTTTAGGAGCTATGAAGACTATAAAGTCCATCTTCTCTAAGGGCCCATCTAAGAATTACCAGCAGACACACTGGCTTCTGTGAACTGCCCGTAGCCAGAACGGCTTTTAAATAGCCAGCCCGAGCTGTGACTTACCATTCATGTATTTAGTTGCAGAATACATACAAATATCAGCCCCCAGAGATAAAGGACGCTGAAAATAAATGAAGATAAAAGGTTTGATTAAGGCTTGTGTGCACTCTGGTTCACTTCAAGCTATCCAGGAAGGCTGTGATGCCAACACGGAAAATAACAATGGGTGGAGAAACTAAAAAAAACCCACAAAAAACTTAACACAATCCCTCACCAACACAAAAACCCGGGCATGAAGATAGATAGACTATGTGACAGAAACAACAGTGCAGGAAAGCACTTTGAATTTCAGATGAGCACAATAGAAAGAACCCACAATAAAAAGAACCCACAATAAAAAGAACCCACAATAAAAAGAACCCACAATAAAATGTGATTTAAAAGCTCTGGTCTAATTCCCACCGGCTTCAGGGAGAAGAGTGATTGAAGACATCTAACATACAGCCCATTCATATTAAAAAAAAAATAGTCCTACTGCTTAGCAGAAGCAGGGATCAGTAATGGGATTTACTCTGAAGTTTATGTCCTTAGAAAAATGAAGACTCCAACACATTCTGCAAAGCAAAAACCCCTGGAGTTTTCTAGATATCGGTCTTAGTGATGCTGCACCAAAAGAATGGCTGAAAAGCTGAAGGAAGTGCAAAGGGTTTTGTTTGCCAGGTCTCTCTTCCCAAACCTCCCAGCTTCCTTCCCAGAAGCCTTTTTCAGGTGAGGCAAACGGAGACGTCGACGGGCAAGAAGTAATGAACAATACGTTTTTTTTAACCAGTCACTAACTAAAAGGACTTTGCACGGAATATCAGCAGATTACAAAGACTGGGGAGTATCAGTACGCTGAAAGGTAACGAAGCCAGCAGATTTAGAATAAAAACTGCTGCTGTGAGATTAAACACAGACGTGGATAACGCCCGTCCCCAGCACAAACCCCAGTGCCTCTGACACCCCACGCTGCCCTGTAAACGACTCTGAATTCCTCATCTTCTCAGAGCAGCGCAGCAGCAGCACTCCGGGGGTGTGAAGACATTACCTATTACCCTGGCTAGAACTAATCATTACAACTGACTTCTGCTCAGCACCAGGCCAATAAAAGATACATTAACTAGCTCCCATATCCAGTCTCTCACTTTTCTTCTTTCACACGTGTCTTTCCGAAGGAATAACTGTGGGGAGAAAATCCCCGAGCTTTTGGCATGTTCAAGACAAACTCAAGTGCTGCTTTAGCTAAGCGTTAACACCTTCTGTAAAGCTGTCTTAACTTACAAAGCTTTTAGTACCCTTAACAACAACAAAGACACCTTGCCTTTTGCACTCACAGCAAAATTTTACTCTAGACCTAAAATACAGGGGATTAGCTTGGTCTCTTGGGAAATACACATGAATATTCCTAGCCCACGTTAAGATGAACAAGACTTCGAAGTTTATTATTCCGAAGCACTTTCAGAAGTTAGGGAATTGCCTTCGCTTCGTGTATTCTAGTTCTATAAAAGCAGAAAAGTTAAGCCAGTTGTTGGAGATCAAAATTACAAACTTCCGAGCCACACATTCACCAAAATATTGAAGAAAAAGGTAACTTGAATGGCTCGAAGAAAGATTTAACAGAGTTTGCTTGTTTTAACTTTTTCTTCCGCTACCTTTTTTAAGAAGGTGGTTCAGAACAAATCACGAAGAACGTATACAACAGAATTGGTATAAAAAGGGCCAAAGTTAGAAACCAGGACGCTTTAGAATTTCCATCAGTGAGAACTAAAGCCCACGATTTCTGAATGACAGAGAAGCCACTCTCCCGATGGCTTACCTGCCTGCCTTGATTCAGTGTGCTGACCTGACCGCTGAGCTATACTGGGTTTGCTGGTATCGTGCTGGTATACGGCCAGCTATGGAATACTTCACACACCACCTTTACTAAAGTAAAGAGCAGCAGCACACGGGCTGTATTTAGAAAGAGAACAGGGAATTCTACAACGCACAGGTCAAAACTACAGTCCCTTGGTGGTGCTTCCATTTTAAAATATCTTCAAATACGCTGAACTAAGGGGGGTAACCGTAAGCAAAGTGCTTACCTGGAAATACGCAGACATAAAAGTGTTGTCCACCACTAGAAGAACATCTTTATGCTTATGCACTACACCTGCACAGGCCTGGATGTCAATGACCTTCAGCGTGGGGTTTGTGGGCGTTTCAATCCAAACGAGCTGCAGGAATTCGACAACATAAATCAGTTCAGGGATTTCACAGCGCTGGGGATGGCACATGTGTAAATCATCAATGCTCTTAAATGTTAACTCGGCGAGCGCCAGCCTCCCACGCGGGTTTGCGGAGTGGGGATAAGAAAGTGTCCCTGCTGAAGAGAGGCAAGGCTTCCCGGGAGGGGTAATATTCCCACAAAAACAACTGAGACACAGGAAGAACACCCAAGCTTCCAAAAACCTAAGTGCATCACGTCTGAAGAAGGCCTGAGACAGGCAGAAGAAAGTCTTGATACCCAAACATTTTCCAGCTGAATCATCTTCCACTAGAGCAGGGGATTATCTGCTCCAGTGCCACGGAGCACCCTCCTTCTCCTCCTCCAACCTTGGTGCTCCCTCAGCTGTTTCTTACCTTTTGCCTCCTCCTCTCTCTCTCTCTCTCTCTCTCTGGTGTTTTTTTGCCCTTAAAGCATTTTCAGTGAGGCACCACAAAGGTCACCCAGTGGCCCAGCCTGTCCCCGCAGCGGCCACCCCCTCAGCCCCCCCCTGCGCAGACACAAACACCCAGTGTAACGAGAGCAAGAATAAAATCATCTAACGATGTGAAGCGAGCAAATTCAGCAATTCCCTTGTCCCCTACCTTGGTCTCTGGTGTAATCGCAGCTTCCAGGCAGGCCAGTTTGGTGCAGTCGACAAAAACCACCTTCAAACCCATTTTCACAGCGACTTGACTGAAGTATCTGTTTGTGCCTAAAAACACCCAACCAGGCAAAAAAAAATCGGAGAAACGAAATGAAACAACTTCCTTAACCTCCCTTGACTGATCCCCAGTCTCTTGTACACACCCACAGAAAGCCAGGAGGGTGAGGGTTTATGCTCTACAACCGTAAGTGGCACATTAGTATTTTTTTTCATTTCTAATGAGTTTAAAGATTGCTGTAGTTTTAGCATCATGGAAAAGCAATAATGGGAACACAGAAACAGTGACTTATGAAGCACCATTCGGGGGGGGGGTTAATCAGAAGATTAAATAGACTCCTTTTAGTTTGCTTGTTTCTAATTCTGCCACCCCACTTTTAATAACCTTTTTCTACCACGTGTGTTCAAACTCTTTTTTTCTATTTAATAAGCTTAATTGAGGATCTGGCAGAAGAAGAATCATGGGGAAGACTCCAGCTACTGGGCTTCTTATCATTCCATTAAATAAACATGTAGTGAGAAACATTAAAAAGTGATTATTTCCTTCCCTTCTGACTTTGAAGCCTTTCACTGGAAAGATTAAAAGAAGAAACCAGAAGCACCAGGTGATCAGTAAATGTGCAACACACTGACTATTTGGCACCACCGGCGAAGTCGGATTAAAAATTAATTCGTTGGGTCTTTCTGCCAGGGTTATTCAACATTTACTCACTTGGGCAGACGAGCAGTTTGCCATCTAGCCATAGTCAGAGTGCAGGCAGGGCATGATTCTGTGCTACACATGAAGGATTTTATTTTTTCTTTCCCCCCCAGGGAAACCCTTTTATTTCTACAGTAAGTTATATATTCTCTCCTGTGCTGTAAGTTTATTCAAGCATGGGAAATTTTCACATAGGCTTTATGAAGACAAATCACAGAAAAGTTGCTTTATAGCAGGCTTCAAAAAACCTTCGCTGGAAACGAGAGCTCCCGCTGGACGTAGCCCCTTTTTAAGAAGTTACCCCAACGGCTCAGAGATGCCAACAACATACAGCTCCCTCTCGCGCCTCCCAGAACCCTGAACACGTCCCAGGCCATACGCTCTCCCAGCACTGCCCGAGAGCTTTTCTCTTTCTTTCACTGTTTTCCTGACGACCTCGCACGCTGCGGGCTCGCTGGGGTCAGCAAGCGCAGTGCCGCTTTCCCGCCCAGCCAGGCTTCTTCCAAAAAATGCCCTAAAAGCTCTCCAGAGCTCGTGCACCCCACGGGGAGCAGGGACAGGTGCCAGCACAGCACCCACGGCTCGGAGCTGCTGTTACAGGGCTGAGGTGTGCCAGGCTGCAGAGGGCAGGCGTTGCGGGGGGGGGAAACCCTGCGCGGCACGGAGGAGCCAGCGCAGGCACGCGGTGACAAAGGACCAGGCCACAGCCTGCAACAACACGAGCAGGAAAGATGACTGGGAAGAGGCAGAAGAGCCCAGGCGAGGAGGAAGGCAAGCAGGGATCAGGGGACAAGAAGCCCCGATAGCTGAGGGAAGAACCAAGGGGCTGAACACGTCCAGGGGCAGATGGGCAGATGCACCGTGCCCTGGGGTGTGAACTCCACCGAGTGAGGCTGTCTGGGGGGGAGCCGCTCTCTTTACAACGAACGCATAAAAAAAAAAAAAATCAACTCAGGGGAGCAATGATGAAATTCACCTCTGTAGAAACCACCACACGCTGAGGCTCTGATGAGCGGGTGAACTGGTTTTGCTTGAAAAATACACCTGTGAGCCTTTCTAAAGTGAGGAACTGATAACATGCTTTGGCCAAATGACTTTGATTTCCTGAGGCCTGCGGTGGGAGGGCTGTGAATGAAAGGAGCAGACTGTCAGCAGGGCTTGCTGCTGTCTACACTCAACTGCGGAGAAGAGCTATCTGGCATGACAGAGCTGGGACATAAAAAGCAAATTATAGACTCACAGGCTGGTTTAGGGTGGAAGGGACCTCAAAGCCCCTCCAGTGCCACCCCCTGCCCCGGGCAGGGCCACCTCCCACCAGCCCAGGGTGCCCAAAGCCCCGTCCAACCTGGCCTTGAGCCCTGCCAGGGAGGGGGCAGCCACAGCTTCTCTGGGCAGCCTGGGCCAGGGCCTCACCCCCCGCACAGGGGAGAATTTCTGCCTCAGATCTCATCTAAATCTCCCCTCTGACAGTTTAACCCCATTCCCCCTCGTCCTATCCCTCCCCCTGATGACGAGTCCCTCCCCCCTTTCCTGCAGCCCCTTTCAGCCCTGGGAGCCTTCTCCCCTCCAGCTGAACCCCCCAACTCTCCCAGCCTGTCCTCACAGGGGGGGCTCCAGCCCCCCCAGCATCTCCGTGGCCTCCTCTGGCCCCGCTGGAGCAGGTCCGTGTCCTTCTGCTGTTGGTGCCCCAGAGCTGGACCCAGCCCTGCAGGGGGGTCTCCCAGAGCGGAGCAGAGGGGGAGAATCCCCCCCTGGCCCTGTGCCCACCCTGCTCTGGGTGCAGCCCAGCACACCGTTGCCTTTCTGGGCTGCCAGCGCACGTTGGTGGCTCACGGTCAGTTTTCTGCCCCCAGCCCCCCAAGTCCCTCTCCTGGGGGCTGCTCTCCATCCCCTCCTCGCCCAGCCTGGGTTTGTGCCTGGGCTTGCCCCGACCCATGGGCAGGACCTTGCCCTTGGCCCTGTTGAACTCCATGGGGTTTGCCCGTCCCCCCTCTCCAGCCTGCCCAGGCCCCTCTGGGTGGATCCTTCCCTCCCTCCCCTCCCTCACACCACCCAGCTGGGTGTATTTAGATTCGATGTGTACAAGCACAGAGAACTGACTGGCAAAGAGCGGTCACTCTTAGCGGTGGGAAAGGTGATCACTCTTGCTAAAAGGTTTTCCAGCTGTTACTTGGGAAAAGACCACCTGCCTCTCCAACCTTCCTCCAAGAACAAAGCCGATTTGCTCTCTTTGTGCCGGGGTCTGGCAGCAGACAGAGACAGAAACGAGCTTTGCTGATCAGTGAAACACAGGAGCCAGGCACTGAGGCCGTGGATTGCCACAGGGCACCCTGGCAGACTTTTCTACTTGGGACTTTTGGGTGGCATCAACCTTCTGAAGGAGTTTGGCAGAGGTGGATGCACTGTTCGTTACTGGGGAGTTTCTTGGAATAATGGATCAAAAAAAACCCCAACCTATATAAGATCAAAACCTAGTAGGGGGCTGCAGCATCACTGATGCATCGGACAGAACAGATGCAAGTTGTGCTTTCAGGGACGATGACAGAATACTTGTCTGAAACGGCTCAGACAAAACGTGGGCTGGAAAAGGGTCAAACCTAGGAAAGGAATAGTAGAAAGCCCAGAAGCTGGGAAGCCCTGCTATGCTGGACTGCAGAGGGTCCTGCTTCACAAATCCAGGCTAGGACGTTGCTATCATCCCCACATTGGAGCATGTACTACTAGTCAGCTCTATTTTTTAACCCCCCTTATTGTGCTGCAGAATCTTTCAGCGTTTGAATTTCTCACCCCAACATCAGGCAGGAGTGTTCTGTGTTCTCATAAAGTGAAAAGGCTTTAAAGAAAAGTTAGGTCCTGTGTGGGAAATCCAGAAAGCTCAGGAGAATCATGAAATAGGTACATTTAATCATCTGCACAGCGAAGATCAAAACCCCACTTTTGCTCTACGTACCTCCATAGACATCATCCATGCAGATAATCGTATCCCCTGCCTTTAACAGGTGAGTAATATTCAAAGTAGCAGCTAAGCCAGAAGCATAAGCTAAACCTAAAACAGAAAAGAGTAAGTGGCAGACAGACTGTATTTTAATGGGATGCAACCTTGTCAAACTTGCCTTTGCTTTCCTCACTTTGCTCTCCAAAGGAACCTGTTCCGTCACTCTCACGCTATCTCGCTCCCTAAGTGGAGTCAGTAAAAGCAGCAGCCTGACTCTGCAGAGCGGAACTCAGGATTCGCAAGGATGGGTTCAGTTCAGCTTAGGCACCAAACGCCGCTGGAGGAAGCACTACAGAAAGCCCAGTCCTGAGCTGGACTTTCCTGAACAGTAAGTGTTGGACTCTTTTCACCCCCCAGAGCAGCTCTTGCCCCTAACCAGTAGTCGAGGCTGTGAAAGCCTTGCTGGGGTACTGCTGCTGCTGGGAACCCAGAGCCCTCGCTCCCCGGGACATGCCTGCTGTGGAAAAGCAGGAGACACACGCGCTGACATCTTGTTTAAGGAACCTATTAATTGCTTACAGTATTTAGCTCCATCTAGTGCTGCCACAGCCTTCTCCAGGCAATCCCGCGTAGGGTTTCCACTCCGGCTGTATTCATAACCCTGTTGTGAAAAGCAAGAAACAAACGTAACTTAAAGAGAGAGCACTGAGGAAGTTTTGTAAAAAAAATAGCGCTAGCTTCCGTAAAATGCCCCGCTCTCAACACCGAGGTCACGCAGCCACCTCCTCCGGGAACAGCAGGCTGCTTCTCTGGCTATGTCACACAACATCCGACCAGGCATCCCCAACCTGAAAATGGTTTCTAGGGGCGTGCGGGGGGAAGACACATTCTTGGACACGTTCTCCTACTTGTTCCTAGATCTCCACCTCTCGTTGCTGTAGGAGAAAAGGCCCGGGGCTGACACAGTCCACCACTCATTCTGAAGTTATCAGGAAGAACATGCCCCATCTGCACAATGCTCTGCTTGAAAGATGCTCTAGGGCACCGGCCAGTGCCAACCTGTACCCATCAAAAGTTCTTGTAAAGCTCAAACCCTGGCATGCAGTCAGACCAAGTTCCACGTTTCCGTGCAATGGCTTTTATGTGAATACCGAGAAAATTTAATGACGACAAAAAAAAAACCCTCACGCATGCATGGATGCACTTGTTAGAGAGAACCTGGCTAAGCATCCTGGTATTTGCGTACATTCAGGATTTCTGTTTAATGACAACTTCGTCACATCAGGACTCTGGCAGGCCACTCTCCCAGAGCTCCCAGCACGCACACGGCCGCTCTGGCATCGGCGTGTGAACGCAGCAGCGTGCGACTCCTTCTTCCGTGGCCGTCTTCCACACAGCTACCTACTCACAAGCATTCACAATTTTAGTCTGCGCAAGCGATTTCGTGTGGAATCAAAGATCACAAGGCGAATTCCTATTGCCCAACCAGCACAGCGTGACGTTCAGCCCTCGGCTTTGGCACAAATTCCCGATTTATGTGTGGCCAATTTGTGCCATTTCCCCTCGCACGGGAGCTGTAGCCATCGGAAACTCGAGGACAGTTCAACGCAAACACTTCCAGTGCTTTCTGCGATCCATCCACAAAATACTGATGAGATATTCTGGAGGGACCACTGGGGCAGCCTCTTACACGATCTGTCAGTGAGAAAGTGTATTCTGCCGGGGCCCGGCGGCAGAGTATTGTGATCATGGGGCTTCAAGGAAGTCCCCTGCTGGGTGCAAACCGCGACCAAGGCCTGAACCTCGACAGGGCGAGCAGCCTCCTCCTCCTCCTCCTCCTCCTCCTCCTCCGTGAGAGGCTGCCGAGGCCGAGGGGCGCTGGGTGCCCCCTCCTGCGCCTTTCGCACCCAAAATCACCCAGAACGGGCCCTCCAGCCCACGTCGGGAGAAACCACCTCTCCCAGCGGGGAAAAAAAAAACCGAAACAAACCCAAACCCGAACAAAAGATGGTTGGCTT